TAAAAAAAATGTACCTATTATTTCTCACTGAAGTTGTGAAATCTGCAAATGCTCACTAATAAAAATAGTCTTAAAAAAACAACCTAATTGATAATGCTATGTCTTCCATACTTATCTCCCTTACTTACCAATAATCTTCCCAATTTTTATTTTTTAAAAGTATTTTACAAAAATAATGTGTACAAGTTATACTGTCCAATATTCCAGTTTTGTTCAAATTAGTAGAAAATATGAATTTCATATTGCAATTACATGCACTAAGTTTTAAAATAACACAGTATTCAAAATAACTTTAAAAGAATCGATAGCTTTAAAGAAAATAAACAATTACTGAAGCAATATTAGTGTAAGGAATATTTTCCCCACAAGGCTTAATAGGGAACAGAATAAGGCTGAAATTCTATATAGGGCAAGGGAAGAGAATAAAGTTGAAGTTCTATATATGTCTACTTGGAAGTATGTTCCATTAAAATCAATGGAGCTTTACATGTGATTAGAGATGTAAAAGACTGCAGCGTGATTCTCCTTTTCCCATCCTCCATAATGCTGTTCATTCAATGCATCCAAAAGTATACTCACCAGAATCTTTGTTGGGTAATTAATCAGCATGCCCAAGGATAGTCACTTATCTTATGTATTTTACTCGCTTTTAAGTTAGGGACAGGAATTAATCAGCTGGCCTGTAATGACATTAATCAGAGGTTAAATGTCTACAACTGAGAGAAGAAGTAAAGATTGTCACCAAAATAGACTAGTTTCCTCTGTGACAAAAGTTCATTTACAGTATCTTGTTCTTCAGTTAACCAGAAGTAATTAAGTGAAAGATGTTTGGGCAATACTTGCTTCTTGGTAGATGACTCTTCTTTCATTGCCAAATTCTACATGACTGAGGAAACTGTGGTGTTGATCTTGGGATCTCATTCCATTCAAAGCAGGTTAGAGTAAGGCTAAAACTCTTTTTCTTAAAGTCTGGAGACCAGAATCAGTAGCTCAATTTATATATTGGATTAATCACAGTTCATTGAACAGTCATAGTGTCTTGGTTCACATAAACCATAATGTACAAAGATCAGTGGTTGGATTTATTCATTACACTTAACCCAAACATTATAGATTAATATGATTGTTATGTTTGTACAACTTGCTAACTCAGTGAAATGAACCATTGTTTACTGAATTAATTGAATTTTCTAGGTTTGCAGGACTCACTAAATCTTAAAGGAAATATATGGGCTGGGTTCACACAACACACTAGGTTGAGATATAGTTCAATGTGTTGTGAGTACTCAGGAAGAATTAAAGTGAGCAAGATAGGCCAGTGATCTTGGAATAAAGCAGCTTATCAAATTATCAAATGAGCTATATGTAAAATGTAGATGACAGGAGTGCATTCAAGAGCCTTGATTATTTTGTATGGGTTTATTTAAGGATGTATTTATTATTCATGTGTTAGCACCAGTCTCATACCAACCTGCAAGTGAGTATAATTCCTGCTACATCCCAAGGACTGAATACTATAAACAGTTGAACTGCTAATTAAGCAAGACAGAGTTTGTTATTAACCACTAGGTGACTATAAAACAATTTGACACGCAAATTGCCTTCCAAAATACATGCATAAGAGATTCTTGTATAGCTTTTAATGTGGGATAATTGTATATGTATTCAAAAGGAATTCCTTGAATAAGCTTCTCTTATTTTATAAAACATTTGTACAGTTTGCAAACAGACAGCAAGTAATAAGAGAAGCTTGTTCACTGATGCATATCACTAAGTTCCTTTCCCTGAAAATGAATTGAACTTCAAAGAACTCAGAGGAATCTACATGTCAAGCAATCCTAATAGTTAACATTAGACACAAGTGTTTTGGAAACAAGGAAGGGAAATGTGCAGGGTGTGGCTTCTGGAATTCTTCCAACCTCTTAATAATACAGTAGCTCCATTCTAGGTCATGTGACTGGGACAGAAGGGGCTTAGAATGAAGGAGTCAGCAACATTCCAAGCTCTGCCCCATTACCCTCATCACGGGGGTGCTTTGGAGGAATTTTCCTGATTTTTTTTCTCTGCAGACCTTTGTTGATTCTGCCCATATCTGAACTTGATTTTTCCTTTGCCAATTTCTCTTCTCCACACCAAATTTGGTTCACTCCTGTTTAGTTTTCAGAGGATTAGTTTACTGATGAAAAGATAGATATAGTCCCTAAGTCTCATTTGGAAAGTATAAAAACACACACATATATTATTGGTTGTTTCTGAGAATTGAGAGTGACCATGAAATTGCACATGAATCTGAGGCTAATGTGTTTTTAGAGAAAATTGCTAACATCCCAAACAATCGCACAACTAATTTTTTAAGGTCAAGGAGTTTCCATTAATAACAGTCATTTATTTAAGTTACTTTTAAAAGTCTGTTTTTAAGCTAGGATCATTTATGACGAATTAAATATTTACATCTTACTTGTGAAATGTTGCTAAACTTTGAAATTGGCAGGATTTAGTCTGGATATATTTTTCAGGGTAAGTAAACTGGTTACTCAGCTCCCAATTTTCCAGTCTTTTAGGAGAATGGGCAGCTGATATTGATAAATTTGTCCTGATTCACATTTTTTATGGTAGAATGTAGGAAATTTGGAACTAAAATAGCCATAGTCCCTGGTCGAACTGGGTTAGGTATCTTGGAGTTATAATGCAAAGCATATGGAAAACACAATGGTGCTAATCTCTGAGCGAGTCATAGAGAGTGACACACCTCAGATTGTTTCAGTTATTTTAATTACTCTTTGAACTAAACCATAGAACCTCTCAATGGATAATGGACCTGCTGGATGTGAAAAACACGATGTCTGCACCTTTAAATTCTATAAATTCCCTTTATAGAAAGGCTTGTATGACAACTTACACTAATTGAAATGTCTTCTTCTCTACAGCTGTTAATTATGCAAGAGTCCTGATTTCTAATTTGGATATGAGGTTAAATAGTAAAGGATGCCATGAATCAGGGGTGTCTATGGGAGTGAGTGTGTGTGTCAAGATGGAGTCCATGTCCACACAATCAAAGCCCACTGCAGATGCTTCTACTGTGAACTGTAGTTCAACAGAGTCTGGAAAGCCAGAGGTACTATAACCCTGTGCTTATGTTTGTTTGAATACATTATTAATAAGAGGAGGATGTCTGTTTTAAAGTGGCCTCATGTCTGGTAAGGGGCATTCTCCACTGCTGAATGCTATCCATCCCTCATTGAGTCAACCGAAAATTATATGGGCATGAAATTTGCTGGGCCTATTGGCAATGCCTATCCCGGCTCTGTTATGACTTTTGGGCTCTCTGTTAAATGGTATTGTCTTGGTTTGGCATACGCAGCACATGATAAAGGAATTGGTTGATTCCTCCTGCTTTGCTGTCTTTCCTCTTCAACACATGAACAATGAGTGGGGAAAATCTTCCAATCACAGTGCTGTAGCAGAATGGAAAGATTCTGGCTGCAGGGCCCGGCCCCTCATCTCTAGCTCTTAAGCTCCATGCCTTCATAACCCAAGCTGAATAAAATCTTTAAAAAAAAGAAAAAGGTTGGAGTCATAAAGGAGTCAAGTTACAAGCCTATTTAGAATCCCCACCCCCATCCTGTATCTTCATCTATGCAACAAATGCTGATTTCCACATTGGCTGGTCCTCCTGTTATTGCACTGTTTCTGCCTTGTGCTGACCACTCAGGGCCACGGAGCTACAGCATGTGCAGTATTGCTGCCTGAGCAATCTAGTGTTAATGCACATTCTGACAGACCACTGGCCTGGGGTTGCTGTGTCCAGCTCTTTAAGGAGACAACAGAAGAGTGCTGGCAGATGAGGCTGAGTAGGAACCTGAGGGGAAGAGGCATGCCCATTTTAGCCTGAAGCAGCCATTAAGGCCAGCTCTGCTCTTACCCTCTGCTGGTCCCCTGACTTCTGTTTCAATGTAGTGGGTGGCAAAGCTTAAATTCATGCACTTCTTGGCTGCCTTTGGATGCTATTGGCTTGAGATGGAAACATTGTACTGATACAATTAAAAACATCCTAAGATTGTTTCAATTAAGGAATGGAGTTATTCTACTGTGGCTGTAATTTGTATGTGATAGGTTTATTCTTCTAAATAAGGTCCAATAAAATGAATAGGACTTGTTTATGAGTCAATACACACAGTGTTAGGCTGTACAGCATCACAAATGTCCAATTCTTTTTTCAAGGAAAATAGTTGAACTCACCCTCTATAAGGAGTTTCTTATGTCGCTTGATCTCAATGAGAACAATAAGTTTCTCTTCCACTGCAATTAATAGCAGATTTACTTTCTTAGGATGCATTTCACAGGGCTTTCTACGGCAATTATTTTCCTGTTCTCAAGTTTTCTTCATAATGAAAGCATACATGTTTGGGCACAGTTGAAAAACAGCCTAGAAATACAGCCTAGATTCTCTAGATTTTGCAAAGCAAATCCATGGAGTAGGTGGCATACAATTACATATACAAATAAAATAAATTTTCTATTGGGTTAGGATTTAGCAAAACATAGCTCATTACTCCTTTCCTCCCCAAATATCTAATGATTCTGATTCAAGTGTGTGACTACAGTTAGGGTAGAACATAAGAGACTGCAGAAAAATGAAACATTAGCTGACCTTTTTAATGGGGAGGGTGGAAAAGGAGAAGTGTGATTTTTCTAGCCTAATAACTACCCTCTCCCCAGGAACAGCATCCTTTAGGAACATCTGCTGATCTCAGTAACATCACAGCCGAACATGAATATCATCTAAGGCACCTTTTCCTTGCTTGTACAGTTCCCAAGGTCTACACACACAAGGAATGCATACACATCATAGGCAAGGGGAAATAATGCACGAATCTCTCAGGACCATAACAGAGGATACTTAAGGAGGCCACGCATACAGCTCATCATCTGGAGGAAAGGATGCTTTATTGTATTTTGTGTGTGTGTGTGTGCCCAGAACAGAGAGGCTCCAAATAAACTCTGCGCGATAGGAGAAATAGTAACGCCGCAGTTTCCTCTTCGAGTCGGATTTTTGTAAATGATTATTATTTTTTTAACCAACTTCCTTCCTGCTTTTAACTGCCAACGCCGAGTCAGAGAGGGATCCCGGACGCAGCCGCTAGCAAGTAAGTACGGGTTCCCGCGAAGGAGGGCAAGTGGAAGAAGAGGCGAAAAGCGCCCCGGCGGCGGCTTTCCTGGCCAGCACCCTCGGTGGGGAGGGGCCCTTGAAGCCCCCTGGAGGGATTCCCTTAAGCCGGGGAAACAGGGGCAGAGAAGGTGGCTCTCGAGCAAAGGGGAGGGGGGAGGTTGGGAGGAGCAGCGCCTTCAGGGCGATGGCTCTGCAATGCGGGGAGAGCTTCAGCACAACCCGCTGGTTTGGGGGTCATCTCTTGGAGAGACGGACGGAGGGAGGTCGGAGAAAGCACTGCTCCGTGTCTTTGCTGCGAGAGACCCGGAGAGATGAATTTTGCTCGCTCCACAGTTGGGGGAGGGGGGGAGAGGAGCAGTCCTTGCCCAGGGGAAAATCCTACTGCGCATCCTGTGCTCGAACTCTCCTGTCATTCATATGGACTGGATGTTTCTATTTTTCCATTATGTTACAGATGCACAGGGGACATTAGTGTGATCTAATGATGGGTGATCTGGTGACCTTTGGATTTTTGGGGCTGCAACTCCCATTAGTCCTGCAGTCACCAAGCATCCAGGAAGCATCAGAATGTATACCCCAGAGTTAGGCGTTAAGAGACTTGCTAAACTATTGCCCATTCCCATCTGAATTTCAGGCAGGAAGCAGTAACTACTTGTTGACTGCAAAGAGTAAGGGTGTGGCTGACTTCCTATGGTAGTCTTAACCAAAATGTCTGGTTAGCAAGTTCCTGCTGCCTTCTCATTCTTCCTCCCCTCCATGACTGGCATGCAGCGACAACCAAATCTGAAGCAACTGCTTCAGAATTTGTGACCACCAACAAAGATTGATGATAAATGGCAACTAATATGAGTTCAGATGACATAATAAGCTTAAAAGCACATAACCAGGAGGAAGGGGGTGGCGTGAGCTCATTAACTGGGCTTATTGACTGACAGTGAAGACAATCTCTGTCTTCTGTGGAAGATTTCAACTTCTATAGCCTAGGAGATGTTCTGATTCCTGACAGTTCACAGATGTTGGTTACAGGACATATGTGTGGATTCTGAACTTACCTTGTAACTCTTCTAAGAAAATATATCTACCCAAGTTCCTTATAATACAGAATGAGGAACTTAGACACCCATATTTTAAAAAGTACTGCCAACAAATGCAAGGTGTGGTCAAGTTTCTTGGGAGGAGGAATTAATTTAATCTGCTCCAAAATTTGTATATGCTTTGCAGATAATAAGCAGTGTTTGCATGAATGGCTGGGTGCAGAGGAAATTACAGTGCAGTAATATGCTCTTGCATTAAATCACGTGCATAATTTTTGAAGCTTTCTAGAGGTTGCCAACTTTTGCTTTTAGGCAGACCACTACCACCATTAAATACTTTTGAGGAGTACCACATCAGCCAAGGATTAACAATGCAGAACCTATGGGCAGCATGGCATATGTAACTGCCCCCTGATGGCATCCATAGGACCACAACATGAATTTATTGTTTGTAATACTCTCATGAAAGCTCCAAATTTTATGAGATTCTAGTGTTCCTGCCAAAGTCGAGTGAGATTTGGGCCGCAATGCTGAAATGTTGTGAGATTTGGCAATCTTTCAAGATTTTTTTTTTTTCTTTAGGTGCAGTCCCCTCAAGGACCACTAATGATCCCCAGATGTTAGGTTTAATTTGACCCACGCTGTTTCCACCTTCACTTGTCACTTACACCTCCTTGAGTTCTATTATTCTTTTTGGCTTAGAGAAGCTCTGTGGAAAGCTCTCCCTCTCAAGAGTCTTTTGCTTTTTGTATAGTGACAACATCCCCAAAAGCTGTTTTAAACCAGGAAAATAATTGCTAATCAATCTTCTTCCCTAGGTCTTCCACAGCTAGATTGTAAAAATCCAGATGGTCTCTAGATGGCAGAAAATAATTGGGATTTACTGTATCTCTTTCTGCCATCTCATCCAGGCATTTGCAGCCCAAATGTGATTGTCCTACTCCTTCCCCTCATACTAGGGAACCTAGCAATTATAATCCCTTTACATTAGAAAATAAAGCTATATTATGGTCCCTCTTCTGCTAATCCTAGTTTGTTTTGAGTGTTCCCTGCTCTGCTCTACTATATCTGTGTTTTTCTTATGGATTTGCTAATTTAATGGATTCAAGATCAAAAAAGAAATTCAGTTCTGGCATTATCGTTCAAGGACAGTGACAAAATGCAGCAAGTTAGGAGGAAGGCTACCAAGATGGTGAAGGGTCTGGAAACCAAGCACTATGAGGAATACTTGAAAGATCTGGGTATGTTTAGTCTACAGAAAATATGACTGAGGGGAAATATGATAGTGGTTTTCAAATATATGAAGGTTTGTCACACAGAAGAGGGAGTGGACTTATTCTTTTATTATCATTAATATAATTATTAATATTATTTAATTTTATTAAAATTATAGGAAGGAGGGTCAGGCTAGACATCAGGAGAAACTTCCTAACTGTATGAGCTGTCAGCCAGTAGGCTGCCATATATAGTGGTAAATTCTTTAGTAGAGGTCTTCAAACAGAACTGAATAGTCATTGTCAGATATACTCTACTGGATTCCTCACTGAGCAGGATGTTGGACTAAATGATTCTAGCCAATGATGGTTTCTGCAATAAACTATGATTAAAGAGACCATATCTAATGTTGATGTATGAATCAGCAGCAAAGTGCATAAAGTTGAGGACTGAAGCAAGTCTATGTGCCATAGTTGAGTCTTCACTTTCTGAGGGTCTTACTGTGTAGGACATACAGTCATGTGAAAAAGAAAGTACACCCTCTTTGAGTTCTATGGTTTTATGTAACAGGACATAATAAAAATCATCTGGTCTTTAGCAGTTCTCAAAAGTAGGTAAACACAACCTCAGATGAACAACAACATATGACATATTACACCATGTCATCATTTATTTTACAAA